AACCAAGATTTCAATCACATTGAATACAGCTTTGTACACTCACCGCTTTTATGAGGCTTCCACTGAGTATGTCGTGTGAAGACCAACTGCACAGAATTCACATGGAAGCGTAATGTGCACCTCCTTCAGAATAGTAGGCTTATATACTGCCGAATATCACTATCACGCGTGATAATGAGGCATTCTTCCCTGCGGTTTATTTTTGGATTTCTGGAATTAATCCAGAACGCCTCGAGAGTTTTGCGCGCTTGTGTTCTCGATTCTTGTGCGAGGATCGTGACACGTACTTCAAAGTCCTCCCCGTTATGTCTCTGGATCCTATGCGTGCCTAGTGCGGTATTTGGTAGAAGTTTGCCGGCTAGGTGTTCTTTTATGCGGACACAGTCAGAGTATATCAAGTTCACCCGAGAGAAGCCGAAAGATAAATGGCTTCCATTACTGAACGTCCAAATTCACCTGTCAGAAAATGGCTACATTATATAGTGGTACCGAAAGCCAGGTAGTAAAAACATCTTGTTTCATTACCTCTCCTCTCACCCCTCGCACACGAAAAGGGCGCTTGTGAGAAACATGTTTCGAACAGCAACCAACGCGTGCACGGGAAGAGAGCAGAGAGAGAGGTCCTAGAACTTGGTGCGGCAAATAGCAATTTTTAATGGCTACGAAGCTGTAGCTCGGGATAGGTATAGGGGAAATCCTAGGACTCCAAACGACAAACTCTAGCGATGGATGGGTTCCGTTTATCCTACCCTTCATCTCAAATAATGTAAGTACAGCTATAAAATGCTGCTTAAGAAGGCTGGGCCAAGAGAATTCGGTAAACATAGTTGAAATGCCACCGAATAATCTTAGGCGCCAGCTAGTTCGTAACCGCCTATATGGCCATCTATGTGCAACGCAAAATTGCATAATTTGCTCCAATGGCAAAGACGGTGATTGCATGAGCTGGGGTATAGTTTATCTGATCTCCTGTAAGGCGTGCGGAGACGAATACATTGGCGAAACGGGCAGACCCCTCTGTGTCCGCATAAAAGAACACCTAACTGGAAAACATAGAGCAAATACTCCGCTAGGCACGCATAAGACCCAGAGACATAACGGGGAGCACTTTGAAGTTCGCGTCACGATTTTCGCACAGGAATCAAGAACACAAGCGCGCAAAATTCTCGAGGGGTTCTGGATTAATTCCAGAAATCCGAAAATGAACCGCAGCGAAGAATGCCTCATTATCACGCGTGATAGTGATATTGGGCAGTATATAAGCCTACTATTCTGAAGGAGGTGCACATTACGCTTCCATGTGAATTCTGTGCAGTTGGTCTTCACGCGACATACTTAGTGGAAGCCACATAAAAGCGGTGAGTGTACAAAGCTGTATTCAATGTGATTGAAATCTTGGTTTAGCGTTTTCTTTGCTTGCTTATGGAGGTGTTTGGCCGAATAGATTGCTGTCAACTTGACCTTTCCAGGCTCTGGGGAAGGCGAAATCTGCGGAAACGTCAGCTTATTCGTGAATAAAGAACAAAAGTAACACCTCGCGTTTGCTCAACAAGAATACGAAGAATTACTTGATCAATGCCGAGGTTAATAGAAAGTCGGTCGTGGGAGTTTTTCTGATACTCACAAACTATTGGACTCTACTGCTTTCAATTTTGTTTCTATTACATAATTCGATACAACATGCATCAAAGTGTTGCAAATTGCATCACTTTCTGCATTCGATCTGCTTCCTCGTACCAATCGTCTACGAAGGTCTTCGAACTTTCCTTCCGCTGCTGCTTGAGTCCTTTTCCTCCAAAAATGTCGTTGGGCGCTGTGTAAGTCGATTTCCCTCGGAATCCTTAGATAGCCATGCTACGATATCTCCATATGTATTAGAACGATTCAACTTGTCCCAGACAAGTTCGATACCCGTTTCTCGATAGTGGAATGATTAAAAGCTTGATCGGACTCTACTGATACTCGAAATGATTAATTGTTATTGAATGCTACAGGGGTTCAGCACGTTTTATCGTAGTGTGTGATCCTTAAGGACTGGATAATAAGTTATGTGGTGTGAATATGAAAGAAAAACTGTTGTCACTAATTTTTCTAAATTATTGTCCGAATCTCGAAATTTCGTTTTAGCCAATATCGGTAACTGTGCACTTTAATTTATATGTTACAATAAAGCTCGCTTCTCTAAAGCAAATGATCACGCTAAAGTTACAGTAAAGGCTTGAAATCCGAGCTCTCGACCTTCAGTGCTATAACAATGGCTTTTTCTCTTATTTCCCTTTGTCGTATATTTTATTTGTTTCACTTTATTTTTTTCCATATTGATTGGAATAATCCTCTCATAGTTCCACGCAGCACGTGAGTCTCGATGTTCTCTTTGATGCTGTCCAGACTTTGCCAACGGTTTCTATTCCATTACATTGAAGTGATTCAATGATCTGACAATATTATTATTCTAGTCATATTACATAATACGAGGTTGTGCAATCTATATGCTAACAATATTTTTACATATTTTTCTGTTTCGTGATACTCCACTGCTATTATTATTTGCTTCAAATGGCGCGTGTAGCGCAGCGGTCGGAGGCGCCCTGCAATACACCTGGGATCGGTCCCTGCACCTAAGGTTCACCAAACCTCCATCTCTCCGGGTTGAGCATTTTGGTGCCAGACTTACTTGCGAGGATATCAACCCTGGTTCGGTACATCGGTAGGCCACCGCGAGACATAGAGGCCGGATATACATTCGATCACCTCTAACGATGCCTAAGGAAGTAAAACGCTTGGCGCGTCACTCAGCGATTGATCAGCACCGAAAGTTTTATTCCCTATCCTTTTTTAAAATCATATTTCATGTATTATGAGTAAGAAACCAAAGTCTATTTATTGACTCTGTCACAAATGGTTCAATACGCACGTTTTCTAAGGTGTAGCATCGCTGCGACACCTCATAATATTTTATTATTTTATTTTATTTTATTCTATTTTATTTTGACCCATCTTCACGTCTACTGTGCGGTTCCTAGCACTCTTCACATTTAATTCGTTTCCTCACATCCATTGTACACGAAGATCTTCAAACTTTACGTATGGCTTCGGTTGCTGCTTGAGGATTTTCATTTCATCTTAAATGTCGTCGATTGCTGGTGGGCAGTTCTTCCTGGAATCCTTAGATAGTCAGGCTGGAGCGTTCCCAATTGGATTGCAGGGAGTGATTTTTTCCCAGACAAGTCCGGTACCAATTTCTGGACCCCAGAGGGACGAGAGGCTTGGTTGGCCCGGAGCGGAATCGAACTAACACCATGCTCGTGGTGGCGGAATCATATGAATATGTTATCATCATATTATATGATGTCATATGATAATATCATATGAATCATCTCATAATGTGTCAAATGTTTTTCACAGTTCTGCTAATATAGAGACTTTAGTACAAACAGGTTGCTACGCCATTACGATGACTTCCCACATGTGTTGTAAACCATATGAATGATGCTCTCTCTTACTGCTCTCGTAACTTAGTTATTTTTGTAGGTCCTTCATAAATAGTCGTTTAGTTTTAAACACGTGCTCTTGGATTCTTACAAACCAAATTGTGTTGATGTGAATGAATTTTACCTACCGGAATTTATGATAGTGAAGAAGTCTTTCTCAAGATTATTCGTTCAGACGAGCAGACGATCCACTCTGCATTTACCCAAGTCATCTGTAAAATCGTTAGTGATTGCACGAAAGGCAAAATCAGTTCCACAGATTTTTCGTCCAAGATAGGAGATTTGAAGGTGATACGGCTCAGGACGACCCACGGCCAACGGTGGTGACTGTTCAGAAATGTTAATCTGAAACAAATTTGCGCATAACGGTTTCAGAATTTGTAGAGAAAATTAGCCATAGTTGGAAATATAGCGTCATAACCGTACACTGGATGTAAAATTCGAAGGAAACACTTTAAAAAACGCCACATTAACTGAATAGAAAAAATAGAACTGAAGTCTGAGCTCCACGATTTTCTTGTACAGCACATTTGGTGGTGTATAGTGAAATGCTGCTAAAGATAAATTCTTAATGACACCTAAGCACATTTTGAACAATGTCAGAAAGGGAAGAAACACCAAAACAGTTCTGCACGGTAGTTTTGCATCGGAATGTGATAGCTGCTAAGTATAATTTCCTGCGTACTGGTGATATCTCAACTCAACGAAGTGTTATCGGAAAATGGACAAGGTACACCGAGAACGGCTGTGTCTGCGACTAATCTTGAAATGGGGCTCATTTCGCTGCACAGCGATGCTCACGTTTAACAATTGATGAAGCGAAACGTTTTCTGCCTCATTAGGATAACTTCCTTCGCGATTGAACGTCCATCAGTTGAATGGAATAAAATGATCTTCTACGTCTTTGTTGGTTCCAAGAATACAAAATTTCAATTAGATATTTGACACCTGAATAGCCTATATGCACAAAAAATAATAGTGCATCCACCGTTACAATTCCCAGTTGGTTGGTATATTCTCGACAGGATAAGCTTTTTATCATCCTTGAGGTCCCGAGAGAATTATACCAAACAGCTCCCAGTTTATGTAGATGTGACTCCATATCGTCTAAAACATCCATTAGCATTTTGAAGTTCGCTTTCAAAGTCGATGATTTCCTAATTAGAACGACAGTGGGCTTCATCATACCCTTCAATAACTGTCTCATGGTAGCCAGTTTGTTGATGGTAATGTTCCACTTTCATCTCTGGTTCATTGTTCTCGTCACATTACTTGTAGACGACGGAAGTTTTAGGTATTGTTTAGGGCCACTGCGATGATCGCAGTAGATAGTTCGTTTGTGTCGGCAGTTGATCATATCACTTGCTATCTAATCTCTTGCCCGCCACTTGCATTTCCTTCGCCGTCATGAATCGTTAGCGAAATGTCCTAGTTCACCCTTTCAATCAATTCTCGCTAATGACATACTTTCTGTCAACCTGTGCTGCTATTTGACAGACCCGTTGAAGAATGTCGGATTTGGTGAAGACGCTCGTATTAAGGCCGGACATCTCGAAGCCTAGATGGAGTCAGGAAACGTTCGAAGGCAGAGCCCGGGTATGTTTGATCATCTGTATCTCCTTTCGTGCATGCAGAACGGAATGCATTTATTATTTATTTGTTTAGCACTTTTTCGCCATAACAAATCCACTAAACCTTCTCAACACTGACTCGCAGCTTCGAATGTTTAAGAGAATAGTTGATGACTATAGGTATTCACTGATTTTTTTTTTCTGCTTAGTTACTCCTAGCTAAATATCTTCTGTTTGGTACCATATAAAAGCGTTTCGATCTGCGGGAAGTAATTATGGACCATTGTAGAACTTCGGGTTTTAGGAATGGATTTGTCTCGGATTCGTTAACTGTGAGAGAGCTGTGGAAAGCGAAGCATGTCGTCGACTCTGCGTTTCATCCAGCAACTGGCGAAAAAATGTTCATCATCGGCAGGATGTCTGCGCAGGTGCCGATGAATATGTTGATCACTGGAGGAATGCTGACGTTTTACAAGTGACATTTATTTAAATTTTACTAATGTTTAATTCCTTCCATGGGGAGGAATGTTGTAAATAATATAGTATTTTGCTAGCTGCCTTGGTATACGTCTCCGAACAGAATAACCTTTTAGAGTTGAGAACTTCGAAACCAGACACGACATAAGCTTTGCACGGAGTTGAGTTTCGCTAATGCATTAAGTGCAAGTGGATTGCGAGCATTTCGCTATCGTAAAACGAGCACTCGAACGAAATGCACACTAAGGCGTCGCAGAGTGTAACGTTCAGGATAATCGAATATGCCACTCGTATATTTGGCTAAGACGGTTCTCACATATCGAGTAGTAACTAATCATCTTGAGCTGGTTGCAAGATTTTGAAAAGTTTCCTTCGCAGGACCATTTCATCATCCAGAATGCGTGCGCTATCTTTACAAGGTACACCAGCTTATATCAAACTGACGCAAAACCACAGAGGAAGCGGCTAATTTAGAGCTTAGAGAGTAAACTTGAAACAATCGCTGGGGATGGTTGCCGAATACTTCCGCCATAAAGATTAAAAATCAAAACACGGAGTAGTTCATTATTGTGATTTTTTATCAGTATTTCTGCATTGTTGGGAATTACAAATTTGTTCACACATAGGAGAATTCAGGACTCCATTAGCCGTAATATTTTGGCAATGGCTGAATCAGTCTTTTAACGCGGTGGTAAATTACACAAATCGATCTGGTGACAGTGGTTCGAATTCCGAGGTATGAATGTGACGTAATTTTTTTTGCTGTACTTGTATCTATTCAAGTGCTGCAGCTTTTGATGTCGTACTGCGCTGCTACTGGAGGAGCTCTGACGGCAGCTCTTGGATTGAACTCCTTAGTGGCGGTGGATTTTTCATTCATTTATTTTTTTCATTTACTAGGAGGCATTCATTTTCTTTATGGATGTTCAATAATCTTAATCACAAATGCATAATGAGACACTTTTGACAATGTTCCATTGAAATTAATGGTTACTACGATGGATAGAATGACTGCGGATCGAAGAATTCGTTTGTATATGCATAGATGTGTTTTGGATAGTTGCTGTAGCCACCAATCTTCATTGTGCACTTTGAGGGAAAAACGCCCAGCGATGGAACAATGCAACCACTTTTTTTGAGAGTGAAGAGAATTGTCATTTTGAGGTGAACAGTTTCGAAAGCTCTTCATTTCTGTAAAAAGAATCCGCCTTAATGGGTGGATGTAGCGTTCCAGTAAAATTCTTTTTGTTCACGAAAATAACCACCCTTGAGAGAGCAGCACATTTCAGCCACGGTACGTCAAAGAAAAGTTTCCAGTCAACGCTAAGTAAATCGTAAAAAATTTGACTAGCAATTTTTGATTTTGTCCTGCTGTTGTCTGTTTTTTACATAGCAAGTTTGGTTTGAGTGCAACCTCAGAAACTCAATACGAAGTGATTCCCAGTTCTCAACCAAAACGAGTTCTATTGTGGTCGATTCAGAAATATTCAGGCACTATGCTGTTTAGAAAGCTCCACCTCTCATTGGACGACTAGTGCCATATGTGGCTGTGTGTGTAGCTAATGCCATCAATATACCAATGATGAGAAGACGGTGAAAAACTTTTTAGTATTTTCCATCTGCTATAGATCCACAAACATTCCACTCTCTTCACTTCTCTACTTTTAGTGAGCTTGTGAATGGAATTGAAATAGTGGATTCCGAAGAACGTAAACTTGGCGCCAGTAAATCCGCTGCTTATTCGGCGATTACCCAGGTTGTCATCTCCAGAATTGGGATGGCTACTCCAACGTTTGGTTAGTGATTGGATATTTGCGGAAATATTAGCATCGCGTTGTTTGAATTATTCAATTGCAGCTTTCATTCCTGTGATTGTTAACGCGTTAGAGAAGAAGAAGTATTTTAAGGTAACTAAATTAGAGTGTTTTCTACGCTATAGTATTAGGAATCCTGTACTCGTTTTACTTCTGATGTTTTTCCTCAAGAATTTTTCACCTTATAATTTCCTATGTTTAGGCTCGTCCTCACTTATTCGGGCCGCTTCAGACAGTTCTGTGTGGAATCATACTTACTGTCTCAACACCTCTCGGTTGTGCTTTATTTCCGCAGTTGAGTCCAGTCAGCGTATCAAAGCTGGAACCTGAACTCCAGTCGAAAATTAAGGGACTGGAAAACCCACCAACGGTTGTGTACTATAATAGGGGCCTGTAATTTTGTAGACGATGTTTAGCAATATTAATGACAGCAGTTTTAGATACGAACTAGAAATATGCAATGATAATTCGTCAAAGCATCAGAATTTTACTAGTTCTTGTTGACAGTTGTTTGTTATCGTTTTGCACACTTGACTTTGTCCAAGAATAATCTTGATTTCCGTACGCGTAATTCCTATTGATGGGTAGCTCCATCGGCGTTCATCTATTCCTCAGAGATGCACCATCTATTCGATTTCATCAGGCGTGATTAGAGGTGAAGGAATGGCTATATTGCCTATACGGCTACTCGAGCTGTTGTACTGATCTATCGAATCAGTGCTACTTTCCAGACAGATCCGTTAGCAATTTCCTTACCTCGGAGTGGTAGATGGTATGCAAGCCTGGGGCGAGGGATCGAGCGAAAGACCGCGTGTCTTCTGCAGTTCACCTCTAATCATGGGGCTACACGCGCGCGTGTTGATAGTTATGGCGCAAAATTCATTGCCAAAACCATTTATAACTTTTTAGACCTTTTGGGGTTTTTGTCAGCCTCACTTCACCTATCGTATGCGGTTCGTAAAGATCATGTTAATTTTGTTTTTAATGGATGTTACGATAGTTTGAGTTTCGTAATGGAGAGGGCATAATAACAAATATTCCCTTACGAAACTTCTTCTATCGCGATTGATGGTCTGATTCTCTCTTATCATCGGGCGTGTTTCGTGCTTCTTCAAGTATTCTAACTCTAGTGAACTCTAAAATGCATAGATAATCTGTTGAAGCATGATAGCATATTTGGTAGTCAAATAGTTTTCAAGGAGGAATTTGCGGATATGCATAGATTATTGAACACATTGGTTGTGCCAATTACAACGTGCATCTGTGAGGAACTCTTAATACCTTTTATTAATTGATTTTATGATTTTATGTTGCCAATGGTTGTTGATACATCTTTCCATAGTAATATGCATTTTGATTGGTACATGCGGTTCAAACTGATTAAAATGTGAAGTCAGTGTCAACTTTTCATTTACTGCCTATTACAATTTTTCATGCAGCATATGTGTGATACTACCACAATAATGCTGAGGTATTTCTAAAAGTTCAGACCGCAGGTGTCTGCGGTGGGGAGCGAACGCACTATTAGCCGTTCCGGGGGTTAACGTGTTAACCACCGTATCATGCGGTACTTTCGTTTCGCCTGCCTCGCAGCTAGTTCTATCGACCAATGCCATCAGCAATCACCCGTTAACGGCATTGTTCTAGGAAGCCCAAAATTGTGAAGTGTGTTTGAGCCACTAACAGTAACCTGTCATATATAGAAAAATGAGTGGATTGAAAATAAACAAATACGTTTTTTACGAAAACTTTATGGTAGAGATTGTCGAGAATTTGTAAAAACTAAAGGGTCATGTGGTAATTTTGAGCGATGGCTTATTGTGACTGTTACCTCTCTGCATATTAACAAATTCCTTAGGAGAAAACCGGAAATACCTCTTCACTGGTCTCTGTCATGGTGTCGTAGTTCACTAGTATGTTGTGCTAGCTGCAATTTTCTAATATTAATGTCTATCGGAATTAATTTTTCGAAGAGTTGTAATCGGTCGAGGAGGGACAACTCTAGTATGTTTTTTGTTCCGATGTTTCAGTAGAAACGTGTTCACCTGTTCAGTAGTCGTCCAGCTATTGGTTTAACAACCCACGAAACTCGCTGACAGTTTATGTCCAGATGTTACGTCTATTATGCACTATGCTAAAGTGCCCAGTGTACTAGATTTTTGATATCTTGGAATGTGTCAGCACTCGTGATTATCGGTTGCGGGCACAGATCAGTAAGCCTTCGATGGCACTGAATAATTGCAGCACCATCCTCTCGACAACGTTAATTCTCCTTTTTTGCTGTGGGGGCAAGTGGAATAGAGTCCGATGTTTTCCATTTTAATTATTATTTCTTCGGTGCCGTTAACTTTCCAAGTTCAACTCAGCTTTGTTAGTAAGCTATCCGTCATTTTAACTTCTCAGACACACGTTACTGAGACAATTGGGAATGCGTGCTCTTCTCAACGTAAGTGGTTCAATTGGACAACCATCTGTTTATTGTCAGCTGAATTTGCGAGTCGCCATGCCTAAACTTGATTTTCCTTGTGCCCTTTGTTTGCCCTTTTCACTGTTCACTCCATTGAAATCCGTGAAGTTCTCTGTAGAACTTAAAAGATCCACATAACGTTCCTCGATTTTATTTTCGCCGTGGCCGGACTTTGAGGCCTATCTGAATGTCGAAGCTGGTACTAATTCCATTTTCGAATCCATTACATGTCCAATACAGTTCTCTGAAGTACCGCCGAATGGCCTTGTGGTTTCTTCCTATTTTCTCTCTGTAGTTCGGTTTTTATATGAATTTTGCTAATAATTTATCTTTTGTCATCCAATTATCCTTTTCGTGTTTCTCTCTGTTTTCCAATACTCGTTGGAATCTATTGTTTGAGATAGAAAAAACTCGTCCATCTTCAACTGTCGGTTCTGCCCGCGTTCGGTAAACTTTCATAAGATTATAAAGCAAATTTGTATGTCAGTCCACATTCTGGTCGATAACCATGAATTATCAATGTAGAAAATAATCAATAGTTCTCAGGATGGTGATTCGAATGGATAGGTTTTTAATGGGCCTTTTAGGCCATTTACAGTAGTCATTATTCCATAAAGTATCGATGGGAAGGGCGCGTGCGGTGCAGTGGTCGAAGAAGCTCTGCACCACACACGTGGAATTGATTCCCACATCCATGGCCCACCAAGCCTTCCATCTCTCCGGAATCAGCAAATTGGTACCAGATTTGTTTGGGAGGACAGCAGCACTGGCTTAGTACATCGGCAGCCCACCGCGAGTCATTTTAAGGACCGGATATGCATTCAATCACCTCCGAACGATGCTTAATTAAGTCGAATGCATGGTACATCCCTCAGGGATTGATCAACGCCGAGAGCTTTATCCTTTATCCTTTATCGATGAATAGAAAGTGCTCAAGCACAGCAGAAACGTGTTTTAACGAGTTCACGTGCCCTTTATCATGGGAAGCAAAAGTATGGGAATAAGTCATACGAATTGTTTGGCCATAAAATAAACATTTTTCAGCGTCAAGTTCGTATCAAGTAATCAGAGTAAGATCTGTGGAATGTTTCGGAATCCGAACTGTGTGAAAACACATTGATAGGCTTGTATTACGTGGACATGTAACCTTTCTACAATCGATAATTTCGTACTTTGCTCTTCCAGTTATGCGCTGAAGCCGATACACCTCATGAGTGCTGCAAAGAAGGCGATTACTGTGAATGTTATTTCCCTTGGCGCACTCACGACGATATGTAATGATTTCAATGCATTTCCTTTGCAGTTGTTGAACTTACTTTTGTTTTGCTGCAGAGAGTTTCCAATCATAGTTCTTGTATTCAGTCGAAGGCATCGTTATCACAGATGTGGACGTCCGTGAAAAGTTCTCTGCGCATCGTAGTCCATAGAACATTGCCGATTTTGGCTCACCAGATCAATCCCACTGACGGGTGATTGCTGATGGCAGTGAACGATAGAACTAGCTGAGAGACAGGCGAAACGAACGGCTTGCATGGTGTGTTGGTGAACGCGTTACTCCCTGGAAAGGACAACAGCGCGTTCGTTCCCCACCGCATACACCTGCGGTCCGGAGTTTTGCAAGTTTTGCAAATATCTCAGCATCATTGTAGTCTATAGAACATTGTTTTTCCAACGAATGTGTTTGTCTGGTTCAGCAATGCGGCAACTGTTAACGGGGAATAGGGAACAACGCCTTTACCGTACTTGAGTATACATAAATCGAGATCTAAAAACTTTCCACGGTATGCGAAGGAAGTATGCGCTCACAAAGTGCGCGTTCACCAATGTGTATGGTCCATTCGTGGATGTATTAGAGATTCTCTGCTCTTTATTCTCACAACCTTCCACTGATTTCATGAACGTTGTGCTCAAAAATACTTATTTTGCAATCTGCAGTCTTTAGAATTTACCAATTTACTATTTTCTTGATGAGCAGACACGAGGTCGACATTATATATACACAGTGGTAGAAGTTTCGGCTGTTTCACCTTCTCCAGATCCTGGAATGGTCAAATTAACATGCAATCTACTCAGCCAAGCAGTTTCATAACCAAATCAGAAGAAACTCAGTGCATAAATTTCACTCGCATGGTAAACAGCTACTTTTAAACAGTCACTGTATCGTTCATTATACGTCTTCCAGTCAGTGTTGGAGACCAGCTACGATGAGTCCTACATTGGTGAGGGACGTGCATGGTTCAGGTCAAGAAGTCCGCGTGTTGTATGGCGCGAGGTGACGCATGGTCAAGAAGCGCTCTTCTCTGCGGTTCACTTTTGCTTTTTTGGATTCATCCAAATCGCTTTGACAACGTTTAACGGAGTCGAATGCACAACGCATCCCTCAGGAATTGATCAACGTCAGAGTTCTATCCTTCACCCTTCACCGAGTGCCAAGGATTGTTGGCATTGCGTTTTATGATACAAAAGTTCCTTTTTTCACTAACGGCAATAATTGGAAACCTTTAAAACATATGGAAAAGTACAAGGGGTATGCAAAGTGCAAAAAAAAGCATAAAACACAAGAAAGGCGTGGTCGTTTACGGATTAACACTACGCAACGCGAATGATCAGATGACGTTGTGAATGTGTTTCCTTATGTGATAATATTATTCGCAAACACTTCGTATCGTGCACTTTCTCTACGGTAGCCTTCATATTTCATGACTAGCTTTTCTACCGTAAATGTGGCACCCGTCCAAAAAGACTTACTTTATATGCATTGTAATAAACCATTCTTAGTACAGATTTCATTGTCTTCACAAGTCATTTTGGCAATTTCCTTTCTTGTGTAGACAGAGTTTCACTAAAATTGCTGCTGATGACGAGAGAAGCAAGAAGTGGCTGATGCATTTTTACATTGAAGTTCGACACCGAGAAACAACTCCGCGCCAACTGGGATGGAAAACCATTAACGAAGATGTATAGATGTAATTGTAATATAAACGAATATTTCACACCATAAAAACACTGAGCGTCGGAAGTTTAGGTGTCAATAGAGTTCGCTTTCATCAATGTCTTGTGCTTCTGAAAGCAATTGTAAACTATTGTAATCGCAACCTTTAATCGATATTTAAAAAGTGATCATAATATCCAGCATTAACTGGGGTATTATAAATTAAAAAACTCTTCCGGTAGGTGAAATGGCTGCAGTAAAAACGAAGGAGTTCATCGTAGAGAATAGTTGGTGGAATTCGAATACACATTACGATTACTAGACGCCTATACCTTTTCTGTGGCCAACGTCAACCGGGGTGTTTGGAGGAGCTAAGACCTCCGACACTTCATCATCATTCTGCAACGGTTTATATTTCGGTGCAAATCTAATCAAAAGACTCGTGAAAAGTACAACATTACGGAGTACAACACTACTGAATCGATAAATAAAATAGATGTGGCGAACTGTTCGTATTGCAAATTAAGGATTTATGCCAAAAGATCCGACTAAGTATCGGATTAAAACCAACCAAGATTTCAGTAGTACCATCAAGCAACCTATGTTTATTGCCAAAATTGGAACAAAAGTTGGGAGCGTTCGCGAAGTCGAGATCGTTCGCTGGAGGGTTAACACCGCTCATTTCAACGCTGAAGATTTAAACTACATTTTCGAATTCGTGTCGTCAACACTATGACTTTCATTTATAGTAATGGATAGCACAGAGGGCTTTCAAAAACAGGAATGCTCACCACATCCAATTGGCTACATCTGTGGTTTTACGAAGCAGTTCTCCGTCAATATCAATTTCCTCCGAATCGCGCTAAATAGGAGAACCGTATGGAAATTATGATTAGGAAATCATACTAAGTATGAAGCAAAAGCAATACCTTTTTTGGTTTCTCGGAAAAGTTGGCTATATCGATGATGGCAATTTTTTTTGCAGATGTCAAGAAATTTGTCGTGGGCGGAATTTTGCCAGTGGTGAGATCACCACCGACCTCTTTCGGCGGTCCATTTGTGACTATAAAAAGATGAAATCACTAGAAGCTGTATAGTGCGTGGGAAAAGATTTAAGCTGAAATGACTGTGATAACTATAATGTGTGCAACAAGAAATCGCATTACGATAACCATTTCTACGAATCTGAAACTAGAAATTTCCTATACCCTCAACACTTCGGGATGTTGGCGATATTTTTGGAAGCGAGTGAAAACTTGGAATGACCATTTGGGTGTTATCGAACTCTGGAACAATGAAGTTTTATTTTTTCAAGCGCAAAATTCGTGATGGACTCTACCGCTCTCAGAGGACTCCAAAAAGATTTGGGGAGAGACGATCGTGGTTACTCGTCGAAGTGGACGTGACGAACGAAATTTGAATTCACGTTTAGGCTTCTCTTCAGGAAGAAGTGGGCATGTGACAAGCTCTGCAAAGTGGCAATTTGATCTAGAACTTTTCGCGATTAACTCAAAACTAAATGATTTCAAACGCAGATAAAAATGCCGGAACGGGGCTGTTAAGCTGTTGTTATTCAATCCTAAATTCTCTTATAAAGGAGCATAGTGACGAAGCCTTAATCGTCAACCAATAGTGAAACATCAGTTTTGTCTTGCGATTTTAAACTGAAACATTTGACTATGTAGACACTACCCAGTACTTACCAGTTGATTAACTAACTCTATAGTTAGTTAATTAACTGGAGAGACAGGCGAAACGAAAGACCCACATGGTGTAGTGGCAAACGCATTAACTTTCGGAAACGGTAATAGCGCGTTTGCTTCCCACCGCAAAGACCTGCGGTCCGGAATTTTGCAAATATCTCAGCAACATTGTAGTTAACTCTGTGGTTTTCTTACAATTCTCTTTTCTTACATGGTCAAAGAAAGTTTTTTGAACAAAGGTGACATTGTGTAGTATTCAGCAAAATAGAGAATTCAAAGAAATCTACTTCAAAGCTTGTGCAGCATTTGCCAGTTGCCAAACTGTTAATGCGGGCAATTCGCTATATTGATTTGAAATAGTCCAGAGTACACTCATATAATAAGAAGTGAAAATAAATCCAGAGAAGTTCATGCGTCCCATAAGCTCGACACATTTGTGAAAAAAAATTCATTTTCATTGTTTCTTCAAGGAGAACCACCTGGACACTACTACCTGCTTTCTAAGAAAAATATATAACTTGTAATAGTTTCCAGGATCGACTTTCTATTAACCTCGGTATTGGAATATGAATGTGTCGTTTTCTTGCTCAGCAATCGCGAAGTTTTTAAACAGCGTACATTTACTTCCATAGAAAGACACAATGCAATATAACACTAGCTGACGTTTCGGTAGCATCGCCTTCTTCAGAGCCGCTTTTTCGTGACTTCCAATGAGGAAGCTTAGAAAGATTCCGCCTCATCAGCAGCTATCTCTTGGCATGACTGGTCCCCCTTTCTTCCCATTTATTAGACTTGTTTACAATAACACTCCCAATTAACAGTCATGAAAAATCAAAGATGTAGAGGTACAAAAAATTAATGTAGAAGCCGTCGGTGTACTCCGGATTCATTGTTATCAGAGCCTGAGTGGCTTGACGTATGGCATGTTGTTCGAGCAGTGACTCCTGACTTTATAGTGAACATCTTCGCTTTACACTCTCTTTTTTCTAAGTCTTTGAACTGCGATGGATTCTGATTTACCCAGTGCCTTTTAGCTTGTTTCCAACGTGAAGTGGATTGGTGATGGTGAAGTTGAATTCATCTTCAGCTGACATATTCAAGAAGACGAGAGTCGATTTTTGGTATGAAGTTAATCGTTCTTTCCTTTATAGTCTTTGTCATGGGTTAAATTTGTAGCTTTGTTATAAGTGGATAAGGATGAAGGATAAAGGATAAAGAAAAGAAGGATAAAGGAAAAAGGATAAAAATCTGGACGTTGATCAACTTCTGAGGGATGCGCCATACACACGACTTCATTAAAAATCGTTAGAGCTGAGTGAATGCATATCTGGCCTTTACAATGACTCGTTGTGGCCTGCTGTTGTATCAAGTCAGTGTTGCTATCCTCCCAGACAAGGCTGCTACCATTATGCCGACTTAAGAGGAATAGAAGGCATGGTGAGCTTTGGGTGCGGGATCGACCCCATGTGTTTTGCAATGTCCCTCTAATCACTACGGTATATGGTACGGTGAGTAGATGAAAATATATATATATATATAAGTAGGACAAAATATGGACAGCATATGTTATAGAACCGAATTCCAAAGGGTAACATTACGGAAGAGATGGGCAGCGTAGTTGTAGTGATGTCGTTCATCACGAGTATGGCGCTAGTTCGAATTTACTCTGGGCTCACCAGGCCTATCATCCCTCCGGAGTTACGAAATTGGTACCAGATTTGTCTAGAAACAACTCCCACTCTGAAATCCAAGTGGAAACGCTTTAATACGGCTATCCTAGAACTCGGGGAAGAATCGAATCGACTAGCATTCACAAACATTGAAAAACAAGACACCAATCCTCAAGCATCAGCGGAACCTACGCACGAAAAGCTCGATCCATCATGGATAATAGGTGCAGGCGAACGAATCGAATAAAAGAAGTGCTGCGACCCGCACAGTATGTATCAAGATGAATCATGTAAAATAATAACAATAACAGTAATAACAACACTAGCACTAATTAACATGAATAACATCGTGATTGGACGCCTGACGAGCTCTTTTCACCATGCACGAGAGTTGGTTTTTACATGAAAGTACATATAAAAACTATGCCATAAACATAAAAAGTTGCAAGAATCACCAAAAAAAGATATAGAAAAACCAAAGTATTGAGGAAGATGCACAAAACGGATATCGTCGTGAAATTAAGATCATCGCAGTTAGCACACTGTGCAAGACGTGGTCTATGCACGTTGCTAAACGAAAACAGACAAGATGAATTTGATTTCTATTCTGTCAAATGCTACCTCCTAGTCAGTAAAAGTTACGAAAAGAGAAAGATCTTATTACTAGCACGTCCTTATTTGGGCGTGTGTAGTGTAGCATGGTAGTTAGAGGTGTCCTGCAGCACACATAGAGACGGACATGAAAGTTCGTTCCCGTGTTCAGAGTTCACTGAGCGGTTCGTTTCTGGGTAGAGGCGGACAAAGTACTGATTTTATACATCGGTAGACCATCGCAATTCATTGTATAGGTCAGATATTCATTCTACCATGTCTACGATCCTTGATGAAGTGGAATGCATGGTGTAGCCTATGACTATCGGAAATATCTAAACATCTCTCATGCAGTCAATTTTCTGCAGAATCCGGCTTCACCCATGAGTTAGCTTCTAATAGAGTCTTGAGAATTCTGAGGAGTACGATCTTCGTAAAGTGCTCGTAAAGCTCACTGTGTAAACGATTGTTACGAATGTCGTTCCTTTTGCCCGTCTTGTGCAGCAAATCTTCTAGTGGAGGGGTATTCGTGCTGTCCGAAAATATGACGCTGTGTTATGAAAATATTTTCTTCCCCTGGAATCTTCGTGTGTCGGTATCTATGAAATTCTTCTGCACATCATTACTGTAGTGCTGATGATAATTAGCTAAAAATGAGCAGTAGTTGAATCTTGTAGCAAGCAAGTTTTGCTTCCAAGAGCACTTTAGTCATTCTTGATAAATGATAAGAGTTTGCCTTTGAAGTAAAAACGGCCCACAGAGCAGAGGCACTGATACTTTGCAGAATCATCCCGTAGTCTTCGACAGACACTCGATTTAAGCTCGTCAATAAACGAAAACACAGATTCTTCACTCAATGAAAGTCACGATTTCGCTGATTTTTCTGTGTATGGCATGTTTTTCATCTCTTCATACGGCGACTTTTTCATTTTGAGATTAAAGCAAATATTTGCGTAAAGAAGTACACCATGTGGTCGGCATGGGAAGGTAGGATAATAATGATTATAATAATTTTGAATAAACTCTTCGATCTTCTGTTCTGTTGATATTGTTGATACTGATGATATTCTGTTGGTAAACATGTGACCGCGATCCACATGAGACGCACCGTTTGGCTGGTTCCACGTTCAGCAGTAGTAATCTTTCTCCTTGAAAAAGGAATTTCAATAAAAGGAGTTAATTTGAAAAGAGCAGTGCTACAGCAGAATATCCAGAATAATTTCCAGTCCCGATGTTCTTATCCAAATTTTTTGATGCTGTTCTTCTGCGTTGGCTATCCTTATATTGAGGTTTATTTTTTACTAACGAATTGACCTCTGCCGTATTTCCATGAAACTTATTGAGTTCCGAATCATCGACTGCCGGTATTGATGTGTATTAGGTAATGATGCTGATTCAATAAAATAACATTGACCCGACAAGTCTGGTCAACTGAGCACGAGGAGTCTTTTCGACTCGTTATTGCACAAATGAAAGATAGAAGTGCTACGAAATGGGGAAGTCCTTTTCCTCACGAAAAAATCTTTCGCAAATACAAAATGTTGCATGGAAAACACTTATTTACTTTTTATATAATGTGCTCAGTTAGCGTTCAAGCATGGATTTGAAAGCCAAATTCTGTAACGGAAAGCAGACAGGCGTTTTTAAGCCTTTAAGCTACGGATCACTTTACAGACGTTTATCGTCCAGCGTTTAAGAGCGAGAATTCTTTTTATCGTCAAATTAAAGAAATACAAGTTCAATGACGCTGAGATATTTGCAGAACTCGGGACCGCAGGTGTGTGCTGTGGGGAACGAACGCGCTATTGTCCTTTCCGGGGAGTAACTCGTTCACCACCACACCATTCGGGTCCTTCGTTCCGCCTTTCTCTCCGCTGTTTCTATCGGTTTCGGCCATCAGCAATCACCCCTCAGCGGGATTGATCTGGGGAGCTCAAATCGACTAAGATTGTGATTATAAAGAAAGATAAGACGTTTGCGACGAAAGCATTATTAACGAATCCTTTTCCAGGAGACTAGCAGGTTAAAGAAAGCGCAACAGCAGTCTACACGCTGCTTGTCAAGGGATTTGTTACGAGTTTGCCTAAGTTCCTCAAACAAGACATTCAGATTGAATCGTCAACACTACTAATTAGTTGTTCGAGAAGGAAAAACGACTGAAGCTGGCTGCGATTCCAACACATGCATTGAGCCTGATAGTAAATCCTCGCTGCAAAACATCTTTACAAAAGGACGTATATCGGCACAGAGAAAAAGGGCCACTGAAAACAGCTCAGGAAATCAATCTAAAGGACTGTTTTGCGATTATGCCAATATAATGTCCCGCTATCGAGTTTGATTAATAAAGATTTGGATTACTATAGTCTCCCACTAAGAAATATATAAAATCGAGAGAGGAATACTTCTGGTCCTGATATCTGTCTCAAACAGGGTCTGAAACACAAGCTTCTGAAAAAAATTGTTCCTTCTTTGTTTTATCTTTTTAGCCAGACTCTTTTCTCTAAAGTTCGAGTTACGATCAAGAGCATGAAGGAAATCATAGCTCCATTGCTAAGTAACATTACTATCCGACTTACGGTTGGAAGCTACAAACTACATGCTCTTCTCGTGAGCAGCGTGACATTTTGCTTTCAGAAGGACAAGGTCACGGACATATTAGCTGCCTGTTTATCCTACCCAATTAAGTCTGTTCTATAAACTTTTTGCTAAATTTATCCCATTGCACATATCACGTATTTTGTTAGGAGCATAACTAGTTGAGCAACTAGGATTTCGACGGTGAATTCGTTGCAAAGACCGAAAACCATCTCTAGTATCAAAGAACTTGCTCGGGAGTGCCAACTTTTACATGTGCTAACCCATGTTGACTACGGCAAAGAGCTTCAAAGGATAGAAACGAATGTGATCTTACTAGTGTTAGTCGACCAAGGGCTGGTGTTCTCTAACGTAATAACTCAAGCTAACTGCTATGGATACTGCGGCATAGAAAAACTTCACCGCCTGCTTCGCATACTCATAGAAAAGTGGGTCAGACGAAGGGATAGTGTAATGCCAAAACATTTTGCTACCACACTCCTCTGGATCACGATGTCATTCGCTTAGGACAGGAAAGGTAGACACATCGATGGCAAGTTCCTGCTAAATCTTCACTTTGCTGAAAGGCGTTATCTCTTCGAACAGCATCAGTGAAGCAGAGGCGATACCCTATGAGCTATACGTTGCAAAAAAAAAGAATAGAAGTGTGCTTAAATCGAAAGGATTAAGCGTAAAATGGTGGTCAGCTTTCCTCTGTTGTTCTCACCAACTTTGCCTGTTGCATGATGGAATAAGCGAAGACGAATTAAGGACAATGAAACTCGTTAATTTAGATAGTGGGGACCCGAATGACGCATTCGTGTGGCAAAGGAGTGAAAATTGGCAAAAATAGTGCTTTTCAAGAGGAATTTTACGATTCCGAAAAACTCACGTTCTACTGCAGTGAGACTTAGGCTCTTCGACCGCACCCCTTCACCAATTTTTGTCGAGCACAATGGAGGGCAAAATGATTGATCATCCGCAAAAGAGTGGAGCTGCCCATTACTCCTGAAAGCCATGCGATCAAATTCTGGGAAACAAAGATGAAAAGAGCGCGTAGAGCAATATGTCGAGATAAGTGTCAGTTTCATCACCAACCCCGGTGCGATCAATTGTGCTGTGCACCACGATGTTTTGTTTCGCTCAGAGGAGGCATTGATCTCCTCTGAAGACCGCTGAAATTAGGCAGCTTAGGTCTGTAAAACATTCAGATGGAACGGAAAAGTAGTAGCAATGAAGAGCGGCGGAACAAAAAGCAAGAACACTACCGCAAGTGGTGCAACAGCGAACGAAGCAGGTAAGCTCAGTTCTGATATGATAGAAGGCTCACATCTAGCCAATTCGTAGGGTTCCGTGCCAACTGTATCAGCATCAGAGAAGAAGCAACATCGAAACACTAAACAACAGTCTGTGTTCTACGCTAGATAGTACCTAAGTTCATATCCTTTCTTATACAAAACAACTACTGAGCCAGCTCGGTTAATCTTATACTCAGAATTTAACACAAGATTAGTAAAAAAAAAAAAAAACTTCGGATGGACTCTCCTTTAAGAAGTCAAGAAAAAAACACAAACCGGCTGAACGAGGTGCCATAAGAGGAGAAGACGAAGTGGTCGGTCTAGGACATCAATAACCATCGATATTTTGCTGCTTAGGAGGTCAACACGACGGAGTTTTTGGGAAGGAGTGGGCGAAGATCACCAAGTACTCCATGGTCGGTGGCATCAAGAGAGGGTTTATTTTGTAATCATCACAGCCCGTCTTGGGCATCAAGAATACTTATAATTCTTCTTACTGTTCAATGTAGTTTTACTAAGCATAGAACTTTGTTTCCTTCCAAATTTCGTTTTATTGAGCAGAAATTGACCACTTGCAACAGTGGATCAGACAGCCTATCTTTGAGCAGAACTTCATCGTCGCGTTTCTTGCCAATCTACTTGAACTTTTTCGAGCATCTAAATATCTACTTGTAAGGAAAAAAATCACTGATGGAAACGCCTTTGGAGATTTCGTTGTTTATAGAACATTAGTAGCCTTCTCTATTGGGTTAAAGTGATGCCTATTCCTTTTTCATGGTAGGGTGTTACGTGAAATACAACTAGGAGGATGCTGAGACATGAGCAAAAATCACTACCTCAGCTGGGTTTCGAACCCGATGTTACGCGTATCCTGAGATCACATACTATCCACCACACTAGCTGAGGTCCTTGAATGGCATTTCTCTCAGCCAAACTTTAATAGTGCTGCGCAAAAGAACACAACGTGTATTTGCTTACCGTTGGTAAAAATGAGTAGTATCTTAAGGCTCTATTTTTGATTAACACATTTGAGACCAGTTACTTCATTTCAATGTGTTGCCGATCGCTTTGTCATTGTTACACCAATTTCGCGTCAGTCGAATAGTGATGGGATTCATTGGTGGTGCAGGAATCGTTGTGAACTTAGAAGAATGAGAGTCCTATAGTGAACGACCTCTTTTTGATCTGCAGGGAAGGTGAATGTTTGATAAGCTCAGGACGCTTTAGCGTGGCTTTGAAGGGATTCCAGATTTATTACTCTCAACCAGTAATCAACATCTCAACGAGTGCAAAAGCTGAATCCTTATATTATTGGACAGCTCACATGCGAAAAAGGTCAAAAAAGACTTGTAAGAAATAACAGAAACATTAGCAAAAGTTTAACATTCTCATCAGAAAACCGGCTAACAGCAAATTTGTATTCCACCACGGTTCGGCGAGCTTTTCATGACAAGTTTATCTCAAACAGCAATAGAAGTATTTTAGAAGTACTCATGGAAGAGTGTTGAAGTCCCATCAATGCGGCAAATGGGCTCACACGGCGGGGCTTGAGGTCTCAGATTATCAGGAAAACGGCGTTTCTAGATTCATATCTGGAAGCACAACTAAAGGTAGAAAGAAATAAAAGGCTGGTTGGACAAATAAATGGATGGCCCAACGTTTCAAACTGTTTGCAACTTGGATGTTTGGATTTGTCTCCTATCAAACTTACATTTTACTAATTGACTACTTTTTCTTTAATGAAGATATTAATGAAAACAAAGGATAAAGCTCTCGGCGTTGGTCGATTCCTGAGGGATGCGCCATGTATTCGATTTCATAAGTATCGTTGGAGGTGATTGAATGTATATGTGGCCTTTACAGTGACTCGCGGTGGCCTACCGATGTATCGAGCCAGTGCTGCTATCCTCCTAGGCAAGTCTGGTAGCAATTCGCCAACCCTGAGGGGATGGTAGGCTTTGTGGGCCACGGGCGCGGGTACCGATTCCACGTGTGTGTCGCAGTGGCGCATCCAACCACTGCGCCACACCGCCTCTCAGGTGAATATATTAGATAATCTTATGCAGAAAATTTCAACTTCACGATAAATCTTGGCCATCATACTTTGTTGAATAGATATAGATCTACATCGTTAACTTTGTGTTTTTTCCATGACAGAAGCCGTGTTTTCAACGTTTGATAAGTTATACCGGAAACTTACGATTACTCTGTTGACAAAGGAGCGCTGCATTTTTACCTCGTCAATCATCAGCAAACAGTTTTTAAATACGGCCTTTGTTCCTTATTTCCATATTACAAATTGGTTTGTTTCTAAGCGATCAACAAGGTGCGGCAAGAACTACGTTTCGAGCAACCTTGTTCAATCAAAACATTATAGATCTGCCGCATAACGGCCGAGAACATAACGTCCATTCAAAATTGCAAATGTTTTAGGAAAACGGATGCAAGACGTAGGATCATTCAGCTTACTGGTTTTGATCTATGGCGAACTTTGTAAGAGATTCTCTCCCAAACATCTTGATAACTAATTCAATAAGAAATGCTTCAACAACTATGATAACACCAAGAAGGTAAACAGTAAACGCTTTAACACCAGTGTCTTAGAATTTTAATGCCACGGGAAAGACAGATCTTTAACGTCGCATAACTCCATTACTTTTCACTAAATGTCTAGTGTTATGCTCTGACAACAACAAAGAGTGGGCGTGGGGGTGCCCAGTGTCCAGTTAAGTTTTACGGATAGCCAACTATTGGATCAAGTGCACCTTGCTCGAGCATTTGTGAGTAATTACTATTTAATAGCAGGAAGATATCAGTCAGGCAAATGCTACCAGTACTTGCTTCCAGCAATGGAAAGCTGTCGATGTCTCTCCAACTCACTTTTTCATATTTGTCGTAAATTACACTGTTTTATGGTATGAAAGAAAATTTCTCTCAGACGCAGTTACTTTCATCGTTGATAGATACCATATATCCAGATGTATTGCGTGAGCGCCATCATATTTTTCATTCTTTTCATGGTGCTTCGATCGTATTTGTATAAAAAAAACTAGAATAACTCAATTTCAAAGAAAATTTCATTTGCGGTGTTTCTTGGCGGCTCCGTTACCATTTTGTTCGTTTTCACTGGAAGCCAATACTACACCAGCACTATTACTGCCACTATCAGTTGTAGGACACAAGGCGAAATGAGTGAGAATGTTATCGAAACTAATTCCATCCTGGTTACGGTTTCGTAGAGCCTTAAAATAGTTTTGCTAAATCTCGTAACAATTCAAAAGAACGGCTCTCATTCAACCACGGCAAGGATAATCAATAATGAGATCTTTGAGCTTTTGCACTCGTTGAGATGTTGATTACTGGTTGAGAGTAATAAATCTGGAATCCCTTCAATAATGAGATAATGAGATCTTGAGAAGTGTTCCTTTTTAAGCTACGGTGAAGTTGGTGTCTATTTTATACGTAATATACTATCTTGCATTTCACTATTCGATTAGTATTCTCTAGTCCTATTGAAAGCCTAATTGAGAAATCAATTCAAAATCTACCCAGCCCGCTGCTTATCTCCTTAGAGGAACTAAAGACAACACTATGTTTTTCAGACATTACGAGCAATGAACCTTACTTTAATCAGATAATTAATTTGAAATAAAGTGCCATATCATGAATGATAGCCGTGCACTTTTCCTTCCCACTCATTTTTTCAATTTTGGAATTAATTCAAAAAACCCGTGGGCTTGCGCGCCGATGTTTTTTGATTCCTACCCACGATTATGACTGCCAATGTATTCATCACTGCGTTCCTTACAAAAGATCAGGTATATTGTATCTGAATTATTGCACTCTCTGTCTCTGGCCTTAGCTAAACCACGCAGTCCTGCGTTTTACGTAGACGATAATATAGGCGGTTCCGAACCAATTGACGATGTACAGTGTTAGGTGGAGTTCCACTCTGTGATATAAAAATGCTGCTCATGTTCGAATTGTCGCAAAGTTTTCCGATTCACTGTTTTTTAGGTACCTTTTAATATTATGAGAGAAGAGGCAATGTAGTAGTGCGTAGAACATTTTTGTTGCTGGGCTTTCGATACCCTTTGAGATGCAGCCCTTTTAGCAAAGATGTTTTTGAATGTTCAAAGACAAAAGCCAGTTTTCATCGGGATTTTCTCGCGTATTTTTTATATACTCTGACTCTCTAATTAAACAATTCAAAGTATTTGTCCACTTCATCCTTTGTATAACTACAATGAAGCAGTCGCCCACGTATCGATAGTAGAGTGAAAGACAACAATTGAGAAATGGAGCTTCCACCTTAGACATAAAAGCGACGGTAAGGCTTAGTGCCAATGGTTGTTTGATTGCACACTCTTTAATTTGCTCTCGACATCTTCCGATCAACCCAAAGAGCAGTTCAGGCTCCCTTTTCAGAAAATCGTGAGCTGCTGAATCGACAACCCATAGATAGTTTTTTGGATGGTCTTAATTCAACAATGAATCCACTTTCTTCGCCGCTACTTTAATCACCAAATTATTTCTAACTTTATCAAAAATAGGAAATTCTATTGAATATGTGGCTCACTGGAGATTTCCAGTCAAATATTGGACGTCCAAATGCGATTGTTACGTATTTCCTTACGAAGAATGCAAAACAAAATGTTTACTGAAACAAAAAAAATCTGCATCCAAAGATATCATTGTTTTCAGTATTTGGAGAATAATCACTGGAAGAGAATAGCAGTTGGATCCATACCAATTTGCAACAATATTCGTGTAATATTAGGAAAAGTTGCGAAGAAAATTCGGAAGACTATGAAATGTATTGAAGTTAACTATACTAGCACATGAAAGCACTTATTTCAACAAGTTTGATGAGGAATCTGAGGGGTACTGTGCGCGAAAAACACAAGAGTTCTTGTAATAGGAGGCATGACGCTTCCGGAGAGCGCTCAGTGACTGTTAGAATTGGGTCCAAGCCGTTCAGCCGCTCAACCCGCTTCTAAAACAACCCTGCGTAGCTTCACATGCAGTTTACATGAAGTTTAGAATCAACTCCGTTATAAGGCCAAACAGGAACAATAGAGAGGAACATTGCCATCATTCCTCTCCAATGAACGCTCTCCAGTAAACAATAACCTGATAACGAGGTTGATCCAACTTTGCGTTTATTTTCGGACGAAGCTCTCCATGTACTTAATTGCTGTCGGTGGGAAAAATTCAACTCAAACTTAACACATGAACAAAAATGTGGCATGTTTCAGAATCGTGGGCTGGTAAAGTCTGGAAGCGTCCGATTATTTACTAGCGGAAAAAGAGGAGAATTTATATTTATCTTTCGTCAACAGACGTTAAAATAGCAAAACCGCCTTGAAGATGTGTCCCCTTACTAACGATCCTCTGAAAAGGAATAGAAAGACCAATATTGAAGATTGAACAGAGAATTGGTAAAATAGCAAAGGCAGGAGAGCTAGGCCCCATAACGAAAGCAACGTTATCCTAAGCCCAAACAGAAAAATGGCACCTATTAAGGAAGGTTGAGAGCCGCCTGTATGACCGCCTATGTGAAACAGAGGACTAGGACAGCGTTAGTTGCCCTAACGGTAGAGGCGGAAAAAGCGGACACTGTATGAGTTCAGGTACAATATAATTGATCTCTTGTAGAGCATGCGGTGATGAATATATGGTAGAAACGGGCGGACCATCTGCACAAGAAAAAACATAGATGGAATGACGAACACTCGACCAAGCACTCTCCTCGATGGTCATGGAGCACAGAGGCATAGCGGTGACGATTTTAAGATGGTAGTCACAATCATCGAGCATGAATCAAAGATATCAACGCGAGAAACCAATGATGATTTAAAGGAATATTTTCAAAAACTGTGGTCTTTCCTTAATAGGTGGATTTCTTGATTGATTTTTGATTTAAGTTTTTAACAGAACCGAGAACTGTCAACGTTACAATAAGATTTGGAATGACGTACTCAGCCCTGATGAACGAAGATGGTACTATCACTACATCCCCATAATATGGAATAGATAACAAAATACTTCAATACCATTCTTTTTCGCTACGCAACCACCGTCTCAGATCCAAAATTCCTCGCTGATCAAAAGCCGCCCGAGATTCAACCCTCTGAAGTTCCAGTTGTGATGAAATGAATGAAGAAAAGCGCAGTCCGGGACTCGTAATATCACCGCCGATTTCTTCAAAGCAGGTCTACAAATTACATGCACTTCTTCAAACCACATGACATCTTACCTTCAGAAAGAAGAGATGCTGACTCAATAGAGGACGTCGTGCACGATCATCCTCCCTAAGAGCAGTAAACGATGGGACCTTTATTACTACCATCCAGTATGCTTGTTTTAAGTGCTTTACAAGCTATTCACAAAGATTATTTTTTTGAGCAAAACAAAGACCTTAGTTGGGGCAAAACCGGTTGAGCACGAAGGATTCTAATACAAATTCTGTGGCATGGATCACATTCAAACCATAGTACTGGTCATAAAAATTTGTTGGATGCACCATCTACTTCTTGTTTCAGCGTATATAGTAGATTACGAGAAAGCGGTTGACGCCGTCGAAACGGATGAAATCCTACTAGCACTTGTCAACCAAGGAGTGGACCACTTCCGTATAAGAACACTAGCAGACTATCACCGGAACTGCAGAACAATAATTCAAATTTCTCGTCGAATCCTTATTATACCCATAGGAAAAGCAGTTTGACAAGGCGACGCAGTTAGAGCCGTCTGCTGCCACATTACAGTAGATAATGGAATCACTCGAATGAGACGAGAAGAGCATAGGCATTGATGGAGAATTCTTATCAAATTTTCTCCTCGCGGATGATATCGTCATCTTTGGAAGAACTATCTAAGGCAGAGGAGATGCTCAATAGACTTAACGAATAGGGTGAACAAATCGAAATGAATAGTTCTGTGAACACAGAAGTCATTTCGTAGGTGTACCTTAAAAGCTCAATGAGCATAAAGAACAACATGAAGGAGGAATAAGAGGAGAGCAACATGGGCCGCATTCAGACTACTCAAAGAAGCCACCGACCAACTGAAAAACCTGAAAATAAGCCATCACCTTTGCGACTCAGCAATTCTTTCAGTGCTCTGCACTCGGCAAAAGCGTGGGCTGATACTTCAATCACGTGAAGAAATCTATGCACCGCCCACACATTGTTGAGCGATGTGTTCTGAATTCTAACCGGATTTCACAACGTCTAGCCGGAATGCTCAGCTGAGATCTCGGAAAGCTATCCCAACTTTGAGATCCAAGCGGATGTACATCCATAGCAAAACACAGGTAGGCAGGCCGCATCATAAGAAGAATAGACGAGAAATGGATGAAAAGAACAGTGCGGTGAACTCCAAGAGAATGCAGCCGCCCTCTTAGAAGA